AAAGCTCTGATCTAGTGATCTAGTCAGACCAACAGCCTTCAGATGGTCTGAACGTCGAAAGCTCTTATCTAGTGATCTAGTCAGACCAACAGCCTTCAGATGGTCTGACGTCGAAAGCTCCGATCTAGTGATCTAGTCAGACCAACAGCCTTCAGATGGTCTGACGTCGAAAGCTCCGATCTAGTGATCTAGTCAGACCAACAGCCTTCAAGATGGTCTGACATCGAAAGCTCTGCCCTCTGAGAATAAGGATGATTGCCTGTGCAACCAATTTATTTTTACTTAAAAGAGCAATTGATAGACCAACTGTGGTTCTTCATACTTTTGTATTTGGCAGACATTTTCTTGAAAATGAACAAAGTGTGTCTGTCATTTCAAAAAAAGACCTGGCAGTATGTGTTGTGAATGATAAAATTTAAACTTTCAAGTGAAAAATAGAGTTTTGGAAAATGTGTAGCTGCCATTTTGAGCTTGACAGCTTTCCAAAACTTAAACACTTAAAAAAAAAATTCTGACACAGATGATATTAATACATGTGATTTCTTGGATACTGTGTCAGCATTTACAAGACTTATGTATCTCGCTTAACCATATTTTCCAGATGACCAATACTTAATGTTACAAAAGCCACAAGTGAAATATTCATTTAAAGTGCAAGGTAGATCAATTAATATTTTTTTAGAATAGTGAATTTTAATATAACCAAGTAGTCAAATTTCACTGATATGATTTCAAAATTCATGTCACAACTAATCTTTAAGAAACCACCACTTGCTGAGTTTTGGTATTCTATCAAAGAAGAATACCCATAATCATCTGGAAAGGATATTAAAATGCCCCTTCTTTTTCCAAATACTTGCCTATGTGAGGCCAGATTTTCTTCACGTGCTTCAACCAAAACAACATAATGCAACATATTGAATGCAGAAGCAGATATGAAAATCCAGCAATTTTTTAAATCATACATTAAAATGATCTGTAAAAATGTAAAATATAGCTATGCTTCTCCCTAATTATTTTCATTTCACAAAGTAAAGGTATTTTTGAGAAATGTTATTTATGTTTACAGATAATGAGCTGATTATCATTATGTTAAATGCATTAATAAATATTTTAGGGCTTCTCAGTTTTAATTCCTGATATAGTAAATAGCAATTGATGTAATCCAAAAAAAACCACTTTGGGTTTCTCAATAATTTTTAGAAGAGAACTTAAGATCAAAAAGTAGAAACTACTGCTCTTATTTCTATTTCTTCTTAGAAAAGTCAGGTAACTCTAAAGAGGCACTACATTTATTTTTTGTTGCAAAAGAAAAAAAAAATCAAATATAAAAAATTCAGAAATGCCCAAACGGAATTTTTGTTCTTAGGTTGAGACCAAAGTTCTAAGTTACATATATGAAAAGTAAAATAGACAAAGGCCCACCTAACCAAAATACTTTCTGGCATACTGATACGTTAGCTAGGAATCCAGCAGTGTATGAATGCAGAGTCAGCTACTAGGTTACATTTAAACTAAGACAATAATTACATGAAAGATTTAATCATTAAAAGTGAAAAAATGTCATCTATTTTGAATCAACTAGGAGACTTTCATATTTTGAAAAAAAATATGTATTCCTTAATGTCACCATTTAGTTATTAAAAACTTGGAATTAAACAGAAATCTTATTTTCATTGTCATATTCATGTACAGTATTCAGATAGCAAAAATAAAGCTAAAATTTTTAAAGTCAAGTACAACCATTTCTTCAGAGACTTTGATAGTACAAGAAAGATTATGTTTTGGTGAAGGTGGTAGCTTATGTTTCAGTCAAATTTTATTAATTACAATAAATTTCAACAATGATTGTTTCAATTATTGAGCTTCCAGAATGTGTTTTGTTAAATGTTACCTTAAATAAGCTATTATCTCTGACTTAAAATACTTTCATTAATAAGATTTTTGTGTCTATAGTCATTATAATAAATATCTGATCTGTAACTTTTTGGGTTTCGGTGCCATACTGATTAATAATTTTCACTAAGTAAGAAATGCTGTTGTTGTTCTGTTGCTAAGTCATGTCCGACTCTGTGACCCCGTGGACTGTAGCCTGCCAGGCTCCCCTGTCTGTGGGGTTTTTCGATGCAAGAATACTGGAGTGGGTTTCCATTTCCTTCTCCAAGGGATCTTCTTGACCCAGGGAATGAACCTGCATCTCCTGCATTGGCAGGTGAGTTCTTTACCACTGAGCCACCAGGGAAGCTCAAGTAAGAAATATATATATTTTATTTTAATTTTTTTTATTTTTTTATGAGATGATTTTATTTTATTTATTTATTTTTTATTTATTTTTATTAGTTTGAAGCTAATTACTTTACAATATTGTAGTGGTTTTTGTCATACATTGACATGAATCAGCCATGGATTTACATGTATTCCCCATCCCAATCCCCCCTCCCACCTCCCTCTCCACCCGATTCCTCTCTGGGTCTTCCCAGTGCACCAGGCCCGAGCACTTGTCTCATGCATCCAGCCTGGGCTCAAGAAATATATATATTTTAAAGAACACAGATAATCACAGACCAGCAGTACTTATACTTCTTATACAAGTGAAAAACTGAAATAAATTTACAAGGTAGCTGCATTAACCAAATTCAATATAATTTAACTATGATAGTTGAATCAGTGATGTGGTTTTCCAGAAGTTAAACCACTGCTGGCAGCAAACTCCTAACTTCCTCTACTACAGCAGAATTCTTTTGGTTTGACATGAAGATACTGCACTATTATTGCACAGTCAGATGACTATATTCACTCACAGCTCTTCTAAACCAAACTACAACAAAACCTTCGTAAGTATGAAATGCGATGAAATCATTGTTCTTCACTCATGTTCCTATTAGCCAGAACGCCTGAATTCTTTGTGCACTGAATTCCCCTGATTGTAGCCATATAGAAAGTGATCACCAGATGACCCCACCTTTGATCACACCAATTATTTTTTTAGTTTTAGAAATGAAAATGCAAATCTGAAAAATTCGGTGGAGACTTGAGTGACCTCAAGAGTGTGCTCTCAGAGTCCAGTTGAGAGTACCATGCTCCAGTTGGAGAAAGCCTTGGCTGGAGTTGCAGGAAATAGCCTGCCTGCAAAGGAGGTGGTCAAGGATGTTTTTATTCCTGACATTGGAAATGTTCAAGCTTATCAAAGCTTTCCAAGCTATCAGAGCTAATTGAAGGGCCACAAGATAGAGAAGCTAGTCCTCAAAACAAGAGCTTCTCTTTATCTTGAGAAAGTGAAATTGTACACATTGATTTCCAAGAAGGAGCACTGTACCTTTCTCCAGTGAAAATAGGAAGTTTCCCTGTCAAGGGCACTTTTACTTACAAATTTTATATAAAATTACTAGTGAGTATATATTGGCAACATTTGCCCAATCTAAAATCTAAAGCAGAAGTCAGCAAACTCTGTTAACCGTAAGTATAATTCAGCCCACTGTCTGTTTTTGGACAAGTGTGAGCTAAGAATGCTTTAAACATTTTTAAAGTATTGTCTTTAAAAAAAAAAAAAGGAAAAGATAAGCTGAGAAATAAACAGAGAAGGTATGTGGTCTGCAAAATACAGAAGAGTTACTCTCTGGCCTTTTTACAGAAAAGTTTCCAATACCTGCCCTAAAAAACTGCTTACTTTTTAAAAGCAGTATCAGTCTTGTCTCCTTGGGGGCGGGGGGGTTGGGGGAAGGTTGACAGTATTCATTTTGTGTCTCTTTTTCATCTTGATCCTCTTTCATCCTTTACTTTAGCCTTGCTATCAAACTAAAGACTTTTAAGAGGACTTCCCTAGCAGTCCAGTGGTTGAGACTTTGTCTTCTATTGTGGGGGTTGTGGGTTTGATCCCTGGTTGGAGGGTTAAGATCCCACATGCCTCTCAGGCAAAAAAACCAAAACATAAAACAGAAGCAATATTGTAACAAATTCAACAAAGATTAAAATGGTCATCAAAAAAAATCATTTTTTAAAAAAGACTTTTAATATATTGCTATATATATTAAATAAATTATTTCATTCAGTCCTTTATTTGTTTTTAAAATCTGTTTTTTAAAAAATAGACTATTCCATTTTAGTGGTTTGTTTCAATGTGAGTATTAATATAAATTGCCTTCTGTGAGAAGGCAAACCACTAAAATGGAGTAGTCTGTTTTTTAATTTTTTTTTCTTATGGGCCAGTAATCTTGAGAAAAAGCAAATGTGACCTATTCACCTTAGATGCCAACAATAGAGCAAAACCATTCTTTCTTATCTTCAGTATGTCTTCTCATTTTTTTCTTTATTAATAAAAAAAAGTAGGCCACTAACCTTCTCTAAGTTTGAGAATAACTTGAAGAATGTTTAACCCAAGTTCAGGGTTTCCCACGTGGAGTAAGCAATTACTAGACCCAGTGAAGGACAACGAACATGAACCTCACCTTCTAAATACCTTTTCCCATTAATTAAAGCATGAATAATATTTGTTTGGTAAAAATCTAAGTGGATTAATACTCTCTAAGCCTTCAGAGAAATTCACTTTCAGAGCTGCCAAAGGGTTTATAAGCTTCATTAACAGTCCATTTTAAGTATGATTAAGTGCTTAGAATATTTTTAAGTACCCAGGAATTAGTTGTTTGATTAACTATTATGGTCTCCTTTACCTGACTCAGAGAACACATTAAAATAGCTGAAGAAATGTCATTAATTACTCACTAAGGAAATAAAATGTGGCCGGTGAGTATCTGGGTTCTATGTCATCTTCAGGGGATTATTTAGGAAAGAACATTTGAAACTAAGTCCAGAGGAAAAGGCGCTGGGACACAGATTGCCGCTGAGAGCATTTGGTCCTCAGCACTGAATTTGAAAGGCTAAAGAGAATCATGTTTTCTTCCCTGAAGGCAGATGGGTGCTCATTAAGAGCTTCCTTCAGCAAGAAAGTTAGGATCCTTGCCACATTCTCCACCCCCTCACAGCCTTGGTTTCTTCCATTCTAGAGTTCTCCACAGCAAGCAGGAAATAAGCAGTCTAAGAGGGGGGCCGTGGGGCCCCCTTGGCTGCCCGGGGACGCGACCTGCATTCATCTGGGTCTAGATGGTGCGCCCACGGTCATGAGACATCTCGGCTGCGCAGGAACGCTGATCCAGAACTTAGCTCAAGAAGCCCTTGGGATCATTAAGGCTGCAGCCAGCTCGTCCCAGCATGTCACGCACACACCTCTTCGGGCAGAAAACAACTCTGTAAGGGCTCTGGGGGGAATCGTGCCCTCTGAAAAAACTAGTGAAAGTCTCAGAGGACAGAGAGGGACTGCCTCGGCAGCCCCAGCAGAACCCTGCCCTGCGCTCTACCATTCCGTATCTGCAGACTCACGGCCTGATGGCCGGGCCCCTGTGACTGCGGGCAGCAGCCTCCCCAGAGACAAGACTGCATACAGCCTGCTTGAGCTGCTCTCTCGGGCACCGCACTGCTGCCCCGCAACTTCCGCTCGGAGCTCCATTCTGTCCCCGGCCTCTCAGGCCAGCTGGGACCCGAGTCCCGACAGGCCCGGGTTCTCAGACTTTATCCCTCCAAGTGGTCACGAGTCAAGGCAACTGGAATCTCTGGATCCTAAATGACGGCCTCCTGCTGAGCCCCACCCCATGACCGCACCCCCACCTTTGCCCCGGTTGGATCTTGATCTCCAGGGCGCTCTGGGAGCAGCCAGCCAGCTTGAAGTCCGAGCTTTGCCCTGCGCCCTACAATTCAATCTCATCTCCTCCTCAGGCTTGATGACACTTGCTCCATGTACGTACCTTCCAGCTCTGAACTCTAGCTCTGCCTTGACTGGCCTGTTACCTGGACCACAGAGCCAAGCTGGCAAGGATTCCTAACATCAGTCTTTTCATGCCTATTCCCCATGTTTGCTGAAGCTATTTGTGTGCTTCCAGATTCCAGGGAATCTCCAGATACAGGACAAGCATTGAAACTAAGGGAAAGACAGTAATAGGGAGCACCTTGTCCCAGTAAATTTCCCCTGTGAATGCTTGGGGAGGAATTACTGAAAGGAAGTTCTTATATCAGCACTGACAAGTATTCTTAAGGGAAGGAGAGGCTTGAGTGATAGATGAGATGGATGTTCATAAGAAGTAGAACAAGACTGAATAGCAAGTTCATCTCTTTTACTTGGCTCCTTTCGTAGACAAGAAAATGGAGGACCAACAGTATAAACTGACTTGACCAATATCACTCTGGTTAAAACAGAGCAAAGTTGGAATCAGAATCTTGCTTCCTGACTGGTACAGTATTCTCCACCTTCATTCTTTCAACAAGCATTCATTGAGTGTCTACTCTAGGGCATGTTATTACAATTCACCAATTCTTGGGTATATCATAGGTGCTTCCCTGGTGGCTGAGACAGTAAAGAATCTGACTCCAAAATAGGAGACCAAGTTCAATCCCTGGGTGGGTAACATCCCCTGGAGAAGGAGATGGCTACCCACTCCATTGTTCTTGCCTAGGAAACCCCGTGGACAGAGGAGTCTTGTGGACTATGGTCCATGGGTTTGCAAAAAGTAAGACATTACTGAGCAACTTTCACTTCACTAGAAAGACACAAAAGAAATATAACAAAGAGTAGCCATTTTAAGGGACATTGATCTGGTTTTTTAAAAAAGGAAATATTTTAAAATATTAAGTATTTTAAAATAATACAAGGCTATTTATGCTTGTGGGGTCATAGAAATGCATGTAATAAATTTTCATAGGAATTCAGAAAGAACAACCATCAGATTGGGCTGTGATTCTCAAGAAAGACATGTTGGATGGTACAGATATTAAACAGAAAGACAAGATAAGATTTAGATCCTTTGACAGGAATGAGAAAGGATTTTTAAGTAGGAGAAACTGAAGTATGTTGGTGATTTAGAAGAGAAGGCTATATCATTTGTGTGGGACACATTATAGAAAGCCTTGGGAAAAAACAATCAAAAGTGTACAGTAGACACTGGGGAACCATTGAGGTGTTTAACAGGAGGGTAGTGATGATCAGGGTCTTTTTGGGTAGCTCAGCTGGTAAAGAATCCACCTGCAATGCAGGAGACCCTGGTTAGATCTCTGGGTCAGGAAGTTCCCCTGGAGAAGGGATAGGCTACCCACTCCAGTATTCTTGCCTGGAAAATTCCATGATCAGAGGAACCTGGTGGGCTACATACAGTCCATGGGATTACAAAGAGTCAGACATAAGCAGAGCAATGCTTTAGGAAGACTAATCTGGTAAAACTATGATGGGAGGCAGTGGGAGTGGAGGGAGAGAATGAGAGCTCAAAATTGATGACAAGCTACCAGGTCATTAAATAGCATCTAGTTATAGAAGATTCTTATAGAAAATCAATTACGTCATTTTCAAATACTTAGCATAACGTGATCTCATGACAAAAACAGAACTGTCACCTTTGAGCCTGACAAACCTGGTGAAGCCAAGAATTTAGATTGTGTGTTTCGATCATGAAACTTTTATAGAAATGAATAAAGGTAATGCTCAAGAATAATTTGTTCTCAGATTAAGCAAACCACTTTCTCCCCAAACAAAACTTTTTATCTGTAATTTGTGTTCACATCTCTTTCACAGCTGGCACAAAGTTAAATAAGACTAGTTTGTGCTCACATAACTAAAAATTCTCCATGAGTGTTTTCTAGATTAATAAGCATCTGTTACTCTTTCAGGAGTTTAAAGATACAAATAATATTACAAACAACAATGAAAGATAGAAAACTGAAGTTCCTTCCCAATCCTGTTACTTCAGCACCAGCTGTTCCTCCTTTTCCCATGTCCTTTTCTTCCAGGCTTTGTTCATGTGCTGCTGTGTCTCTTTTTACGATGGTGAGACCATTTATCCATAAAAAGATGTAGTAAAATTGACTATCTTTGTCCTTAGCATGGTTATCCTGTTGTATTAAGTAAGAACTGTTGGTTGGTAGATGGCAATATGAAAAGGATGGAAAGTTGGTTTCCCTGACTCTGAGCTCTTCAAAGTAAGGATCATATGGTTTGGAATCTCATACAGAAAGTCTGTTTAAATACAGCAAAGCATTCTGTCGCTGTCTTCTGTTCCAACGAGCCGACTAAACGATAAGGGCAACAGCTGCAGTACTTTCTTTGTGTGTTTCTTGTGTGTCTGTGTGTTAATTGCCAAGTTAGCCACTAATCTCTCTAGCGAGTTAACCGTGGTTATGTCTTACAGAAAAAATTATCTACATCTCTTCATATGGATTTTAAAGAAATTAAATCCTGGCTGTTTACTACTAATATATTTTTGAGACCAAGTCATCTTTACTGAAAAGGAGTGTTGTAATATTTACTCCATTAATGTTTGAATACAGCTACGTTCAGACTCTAGTTATGGATTGGATTGTGTATCATGGTTCACTTGTCACTGATCAAGTCATTATCCCCAGTGAACCAGATTTGCTTGCCTGGAGGCAATGTTCTAGGATGTACTACATTTATTCAGAGGTTTTTGGTTTGTTTATTTTAATAACCCTTGTTAGCAAAACCTGAAACTTGAAAGTTGTCCAAATTCACTACCAAAATGTAGCTAGAGCTCCTATCTAGTGATGAAAGTAGAAAAAGGTCTTGATTCTCAATGACCCTCTGTCTCGATTTACATAAATTTGTGTATGCATTATGACCTTCACATATGAGTTACAGAAGCTGAAATGAAATTAGGTAATATTGTTTTCATCAGTTGAATACATGATATGAAAATATAATTAAATTCCAAAAAGGCAAAAATTAATTAAAATGCTTGATATAATTTCATCACAGTAAATGTCCAATACCATTATATCTGCCATGAAGATTATTTTACTGCAAAAATGATTTTTGCGATATTTCTAAGAAACTAAAATCTATTTTCATAGTTCCAGATTTTATTCCACTAACTGATATTCCATGTGATGCTTATGCCATAAGATCCAAGCAAAAATGGTGCAAAATATATAGTTGTTATTATAGTAATGATCTCCACTAAGGATTATAATACTCACTATTTTACCTAAAGTTTGAGGGGAGATCAGTATTTCATGCAAACACATTTTTGGCCACAAGTTAATTTTTCTTGTCTCTTGCTCTTTTAAATTAAATGCCCTCTGACTGAAAAATGTTTCTTCATAATAATTGGTAGTAATAAAATAAATGTATATCAGAAAATTTTCCACAAAGGTTATCTCAGTATATCCTCATAGTCTTGGGAGGTAGTAATTATCGTTATATTTTTTGACAGGTCAGGATATTGAAAGTCAAATGAAATGAAAGTCTTTTTAATTCTTATAACAAGTTAATGGAAAACCCATATTTTGAGTTCATGGCTGGCTTCCCAGTACATTGCTCTTTCCATCAGCGTTGTATATCATGTGTTGATTGCAGTGGAGCAAGATTGAAAGTCCCCCAAAAGGTTACCTTAAAATTGTTTTATTGCTTCAGCCAAAGTATTTTGTCATAGTCAAATGCAGTAATTCGTAGTCACGTGCTCACTCTGCACTGGTCCACCAGCGCTTTGCTTGGCACAGTTTTAAAGCTCCCACTTTTAAGTGGAAACATGTGCCCTCCCTCATCTACTGTGTGGGCTCTGCCCTCATCCAGTATCCTCCCTCTCACCCGGACGCTGACACATCTAATGAGCTTACAATTATTTTTAAACTTCTTTCCATGAGGTGGTATCTGCACACCAGCTGAAGGGGAGAATGTAATCCATCTTGCAGAAGTTAAACCATGGGTCATGTGAAGAGCAGGAGGTGGTAAGAAAGGAATATTTGATGAAACTCTCCATAGAAATGTCAAACTCAGTATCACATTTCTATCTGACTCCAGATTTTAGAGTTCAAAATGTTTGTGCTAGAACCAATCAGTGAAATCAGTTCAAGTTTGGAGAAATATTTCTTCCAGATTAACAAATAAAGAAAGAGAGAGAGTAAAGCAAGAGAGAGAAACAGAGAGAAAGAGAAGAAATGGAGGAAGAAAAGAGAAGAAAAGAAAAAGATGCAGAGAAAAAAGAAGGAAAAAAAGGGGGGCAAGTCTTTTTGGGTATGCAAGTTTTCCTGCTCTTAAAATAATAATAATAATGGCTTAAATTAATAATAAATTTGGCCACTGAAGATAGTTGTGGTTCTGGTTAAAGAATCAATAAGCTTCATCTGACCAGTGGCCATAATTGGCAAATTCCTACCAGAGGTTGCTAATGGGTTAATAGTGCTGTGATCAAAGAAAATATATATATATATATATATATATATATATATATATATATATATATATATGTATGTATGTATATATAAAGTACATTTAATATATATATTTAAGAGTATATTTAATATATATTCCTATTGAAGAACAACAAAATTACACATGAGAGAACATTTGGACAACTGTCCATATAGTTAGTTATTAGGAGCAGTTGCTTGAGTCCATCTGAGCTAAGGAAGGAACGTTACACTGCTCTGCCCCTCTGCTGACATTTGAATTTTTTTCAGTTAGGGGTTATGACAAATACAGGTGAGGCTTCTATAAAAACTCTCATATCAATCTTTGTAGACATATGTACTTCTCTTGGAAAATACATGGAGCAGAATTACTAGGTCA